GCCAGGGCCCAACCAAGGACCAACCAAGGACCAGCCAAGGACCAGCCAAGGACCAACCAAGGACCAACCAAGGACCAGCCAAGGACCAACCAAGGACCAACCAAGGACCAACCAAGGACCAGCCAAGGACCAGCCAAGGACCAACCAAGGACCAACCAAGGACCAGCCAAGGACCAACCAAAGAGCAGCCAAGGAGCAGCCAAGGACCAACAAAGGACCAACAAAGGACCAGCCAAGGACCAACCAAGGATCAGCCAAGGACCAACCAAGGATCAGCCAAGGACCAACCAAGGACCAGCCAAGGATCAGCCAAGGACCAACAAAGGACCAGCCAAGGATCAGCCAAGGACCAACCAAGGATCCACCAAGGACCAACCAAGGACTAGCCAAGGACCAGCCAAGGACTAGCCAAGGACCAACCAAGGACCAGCCAAGGACCAGCCAAGGACCAGCCAAGGACCAACCAAGGAGCAGCCAAGGACCAGCCAAGGACCAGCCAAGGACCAACAAAGGACCAACAAAGGACCAGTAAAGGACCAACCAAGGATCAGCCAAGGACCAACCAAGGATCAGCCAAGGAACAACCAAGGACCAGCCAAGGACCAACCAAGGACCAGCCAAGGACTAGCCAAGGACTAGCCAAGGATCAGCCAAGGACCAGCCAAGGACTAGCCAAGGACTAGCCAAGGACCAACCAAGGAGCAGCCAAGGACCAACCAAGGATCCACCAAGGACCAGCCAAGGATCAGCCAAGGACCAACCAAAGACCAGCCAAGGACCAGCCAAGGACTAGCCAAGGACCAACCAAGGACTAGCCAAGGACCAGCCATGGACCAACCAAGGACCAACCAAGGAGCAGCCAAAGACCAGCCAAGGACCAACCAAGGACCAACCAAGGACCAGCCAAGGACCAGCCAACGACCAGCCAAGGACAGCCAAGGACAGCCAAGGACCAGCCATTGACCAGCCACAGACCAGCCAAGGACCAGCCAAGGACAGCCACGGACCAGCCAAGGGCCCATCTATGAAAGTAGGAAAATTTTGAATGGCTACTAATGTACCTTAAATTTTGATAGACTCAAGGGAGCCCTATAGGTACTGACTGCCAGCTTACAGCTCCACAATACAAGTAGAAGTAGGAAACCCAGTTGTCTTCTGTCATCCAAAAAAGTTAAACTTTTTTCCCGCTATCTGCTGATCAAGGTGATCATTAAGGGCCAAATCATAGTCTTTCTAGATGTTTTTTGCTCATCCATCATGTTTTTGCATGCAACACTGTCTGCTTAGAGGAAAATTCGTCCAATACAGAAGTCATGCAGTGTGACGTAGATGCTAATACTATGTAAATTGGCTGCACAGCCGGTTTAGGATCTCATGGATGCATCAAGCATAAAAAACGCTTTAAAGACTACAAAATGAATCTGACTATGACAGAGAACAACAACCCTTAACATTTTGAATTTATTGTTCTAAAACCAACTGAGCTTTTGTGGAAAGAGACAAACTAATGGTTCTCCATCGTAACTTGTGTGATTTTATCTAAAGGAAAATAACGCTCCACGAAAGATTAGGAGAGCAGGTGATCCAAATACTTGCAGGTGTAATCCCACTGTTGCTTCAGCATTATTTAAATATTGGGATTCAATACCAAAATAAGGCACATTTTTAAGATCTGTATTCAAAAAGCAAAAAAGAAAAAAATAATCCACTTTCTCTTCAAGATTATGCAAGACCTTGTGTCAAATAAAATCCAAACACCGAAGTTTGTGGTTTTAATCTAATAGTTCAAGGATATATTTTTTTTGCGAAGCTCTTGTTTTAATAAGGGGCCCTGTGTTGGTGTCACAAACTGCATAGCGGAGTGAAACAGTGTGTTCATTGATAGATCCAGATCTGAGCCCCGCTGACCAGAAGTGAATGGTTACACCGCGCTCTCCTGTAGGTGGTCCTCTTGCCATTTGATTCAATCAGTCGGGTGTTAGAAGTATATCGATGAGACGCCAAAAAAAACTTTGGAGTGTTTTCATGTTGGGACAAGAGCTTGAAATAGCTGGAGGGTTTCCCCTCACAGGCTGCCTGACCGCAGGAGCACAAACAACCGGATAAGGCTTTCAACCGCATTTACTAAGGGTCTACTTAACATAACACAGCAGGTGAGCATCAGTGGGTTGGGCCAGAAACACACATCCACTTTCTGTTCCCCTCACCGTTAAAGTATTCACGCCCTTTGCTCTGTCGCCTAAACACAACAGGCCAGAATCCCTCTTAGATGCTCTTTGCTGAGTCAGGGGAAACTAGGAGCAGCAATCCACCTGAAACATTGACACAGTGGCCTGACTGTTCGGGGTTCAGCCAGTTGGGACCCAACAGCTATAGGGTGAGTCTCTGTGGACAGAATGTAGGATCATCCTGTCTATCTCACATTAGTTGAGACAGGAGATTTAGACCTTACTTCTTTTTATTTAGAGCTTTCAGAAAAAAGGAAATTTACCTTTTTTATCTCATGACTACACTAAACACCCTGCATTTGCCTCAGACTATCAATAAGAGCAGTACAGATCTGCATAGCTGCTGCTTAACATGATTTGCCACATGCCATACAAATGCACCATGTCAAGGTTTTTTTTCAAAAACTCGCAAGGAGAGTGCAGACTTTCTGATTTTATCACACGAGGACACAGTGTACCAGGATGAAAAAAAGAACACGTCCATCCGTGCATGGGTGTTGTGATAAAGCAGTGGCGGGTTGTCTGGATACATGCACCATCTGGTGGACAACAGGAGAACCTCATCATTTGGGTTAAAGCACCCACTAAAGTGCTGCTTAGTGTAGAATGGTGGGGTTAAGAGGAGGTTCTTCCAGGACTTTAAGGCACATTCAGAGGAGGAGGAAGGAATCGGCGTGCAAAGGTTATTTCTGCCTTTGAGGTGAGGTGAAATGGAGACAGAAACAGATTTGGTCAGTGGCTTAAGCTGAGTTTCACCATTTAGCGGACAGAGTGCCACTCTCTCTGTATCTGCGCTGGACTATCATAACAGAAATGATGAGATCTAGGCTGTTTGTTACTTACAGGAATTCTCTGACCTCAAGGGTAAGCAATGCATCTGCAGTGAGTGGGAGCGCTGGCATCTAAACAGGCCAAAATAAGAGTCTCTCCAAACAGTTGGGGGAGAAAAATCCAAAGCTTTGCGTCCCCTGTGACAGGCTAACGCAAAAAAACATGAGACCCCTCCTTGGTGAAATGAACCCGAAGAAGGAACTTCATATAAGAACGTGAATCAGATGTAAAAGCTTTAACAGCATAAGATGCACAGTTTAACACCAACTACTCCCACTCAATGCTGCCAACTGGCCTCTTTTCATAAAGGATCTCAGGGTATTAGGCTGCCATCCATACATCATTCAGAAAGGAAAGATAGAACCTCTTGCCTTTACTGACTCCTTTGGGTGCTAAGAGCTTTTTATGCTGCTGCTATAAGCTTTTTATTCAGGAGAAGATGGCGGCTTACCTTGCTCTCGCTGCTGGTCTCTCTGCTCCATGGACACCAGCGCTGAGAAGTGAGCCTGATCATAGGCCAGGACCAGAGGGGAGCAATGACACCGGCTCGGAGGCACTTCCAGGGGCAGATAGAGCCCTCCAAATGGGATAGGAGCAAATGCTTCAAGAGAGGATAAGACATAGCAGGGTCATTCCTTGGGTTGTGCTCCTAAGCCAAAACTGTCTGAATCAATTAGCAGTTACCCTACCTTCTCCTCCGGAGTCTCTCAGCATGGTGTCTGCCACCACTACAATTGGCCTGCGTAACACGTGGGCCAGCACAAACACATGGAACTCCTCCAAACTCTCATAGACCGGATCTTCAGAGTTATCCACCCTGAGTAAAAAACACACAAAGAAATGATGGGATCTGTTGAAATCTGGAAAATTTCTGCTCATGTTTGATTGGTGAGGAGGATACATTTCCACGTTTTAATTTCAGAATGTCACACTTAATTTACAAAGTTCACAATCATATTTAAACCCAGTTAGTAGAATTTGTGGTTGATGTTTGTACACTAGAAAATCCAGATATTTATACACTAGAATCCAGAATCTGCTTCAAAAAATCTTGATAGGAAAGACAATGTGACTCCTTTTAGCTGTTTGCTGCATGGATACCTGCAGCAAGCCACTAAAACTCGCAGTTTTTATGCCAAGTCAGTGGCGCCACCAGCGGGTGGCCAGGGGTGGCCTCGGCCACACTGTGCAATGCCCTGGCCACCCCACTCGCCAGTGTAAATTGTAGTAGCATCAGTTTAGCACTTCATCCTATTGTGCACAGCCAGCGACCTAACATTAAAAAAAAACATCACACATTAAACCAATATATGAGTGGGTGTTTACTTAAAGGAATAGTACACCCAAAACATGATTAGCCTTCATTTTCTACTCACC